CCACCACCACTCTATATGATGATGCAAAGCAGAAACCAATGCAAAACACAATTGAACACACACACACACACACACACACACACACACACACACACACTGCAAAACTAAATGGAATAACAACAAAGTGAAACAAAAAAAACAAGAAAACTAAACACACAGGCACATGCCTAGCACAAAGTGAACAGAAAAGAAAAGCAGAACGACTCCCAAAAAAAAAAAAAAAAAAAAAAAGGAATTCAGATTGAACCTTCACACATATATTGACACACACCTTAAACTATAAAAAATGAAAATAAAAAAACACAGAAGAACACAAGAGCAAAAACAAACCAACAACAGCTACAAAATTGAAAGATGAACACTCAATCATTCACATACACACATAAACAGAAAAAAACAAATAAAAGAAGAAAGAATCAGAAAAGAAAAAAATTTGAGGGGGATGCAAATCAAACCCTCACATACACATTTATGTATAAAGGACAAATATTTTAAAAATAGATGAACTAACAAACAAACAAAATCTTTTTAAAAATTAAAACAAAAAACTAAAACCTGCCTTCTTGTGGCAGGTTCTGTAAATGTTCCTCTAATCAGGTCTCTCCTGCAGAGCCACCTCTTTCACTCTCTCTTCAGTGTCTGGAGCAGGGAAGGAGGAGGGTCAGTGGAGGTGGGTGTGGCTGCAGTCTTCCCCTCCCACTCTGGTATGGTCAGGAAGCTCTCCTCTGGTGAGGAGGTGTGGGATTGTCTCTTCCCCAGGTCTGTACTCACGGAGGGGTGCCCCAACCAGGCCTATCCTGGAATGGAGTTCTCCTATTGCAACTGACATCCAAGTGAAGCCTGGATTTGTCCTTCTCAGTCATGACCCAGTTATGTGGGTCTGACTTTCAGAGGATTGCTGGGGAGGAGGAGGTTTATGTCAGCCCCGGACTCACCACTAATCTCTTTGGAGTTCTTCCTCACCCTTTTCTGACCACATTTCCCACAACTGGATCAGGGTAGGGGGTAGGGAGTCTGGAACTCAGCACTTGTCAGGTCCCTCTGAAGTTTGTGCTTTCAGGATATTCCCTCTGGGTCATGATCAATCCCTGAGTAGTTGATCTACCAGTCACAGAGACTGGGTTTGTTGCTCTGTGGTGAGGAAGTCAGAGCACTTTCTTGCCCCATCTTCAAGATGGTGGTGGGGTGACTCTCTTGTCCTCTTCCATGGGACTTTGACTCTGGACTCCCTTCATAGCCCCTGCTGCCAGTGCCCTACCAGGTGCTGAAGTGGTGAGGCAAAGTCTGGAGCCACAATGGTCTCTCCTGCTACAATGGTGAGGGAGAACCTGGGGTGATGGTCTCTTTCTGCTGCTTCTTCACAGGAAAACTTTTGTCCATTTAAAAAAAAATGGCACTTGTCTTCTGTGACCTGGGAAGAGCCAGGGGTCAAGCCGAGAAGCTGCACCGGCTGTTGCACCAGAGGCCTGGCCACTTGCTCTTGAGCCCCCACTTAGACAGTCTCTCCCAGCATTTTCTTCCCAGGAAGTGTTTTGTTGATTTAAAAAAAAAGAAAAGAAAGAAAATGGTGCTAGGCTTTTGTGTCCTGGGAATCGCTAGGGTCCAAGCCCAGCAGCTGTGGCACCAGCTGTTGAACCAGGAGAGCCCTGGCCACTAGCTCATTAGCCCTCACTCAGGCAGCCACTCACATGCCTAGTTGCTCACCAGCATGTACACAAAATTTTCCATACATTCACTTAAACTGGGACTTGCATAGTCTGACTGGTTCGGCTGCCATCTTCAAACCTCTCCCCACCACACACAGTTTTCTCTTATTTCTAAAGCTCTGATTCCCCCTCAACTATGAACTTCTGGGTATCAGAGAATATACTTGGATCCATCACATGCACATAGTATATAATTTAAAATATTAAAAAAATACATGCAGTATTTAAATAATACTAACAATACTCAGAGATTGCCCATACTATATAGTTTGTTTCTGGTTAATTTTATGTCAATTGAATGGAGCAAAGAGATGCCTAGATATTTTATAAAACATTTCTTCTGTGTGTATCTGTTAGGGTGTTTCTGGAAGAAATTAACATTTGAGTCACTAGATTGAGTAAAGAAGTTTAACCTTACTAATGTAAATGGGAATCAGCTAATCCCTTAAGGAATATATAGAACAAGTCAAAGGAAGGGCAAATTTGCTTCTGTTTTGAGTTAGGGCATCTATCTTCTCTTGCTCTCAGATACTGAGTGCTCCTGGCTCTAAAGCCTTTGGACTTAGACCTAGACTTATATCATCAGCTTCCCTAGTTTTCTAGTCTTTGAACTCAGGCTGAATTGTACCACCATTTTTTCTGGTTTTCTAGCTTAAAGACAGCAGATCATGAAAATTTTTGGTCTTCATAAATGTGTGAGCCAATTTTTAAATAAATATCATAGATAGATAGATAGATAGATAGATAGATAGATAGATAGATAGACAGACAGACAGGTAGATATTCTACTGGTTCGGTTTATATAGAGATCCTTGGATAATACAATGTATCTAATTTTCCTCAACAATATGACCACAACATTAAAAGATATAAGATGGTGGTTAAAAGCAAGTCTTTTGAACAAGCAGATAACTGGATTCAAATCACATCTCAGCCTCTTACTAAATGTATGTTCTTAGATAAAACATTTAACCACTAAAAGCCAATTTCCTCCCTCTTAAAATAGAAATAATAATAATAATAGCTATTGAAAAGGATTCCTGTAAAGTAACATATATGTGGGGAATTTTTAGTGCAATGTCTTAGTTATGAAGAGTGCCTAATAAGTGAAAAATTATAGTAATGTTGTTTTCAATAAATGTAATTTCAATTGTAAGCATATATTGTGTTATTTTATTACAAGTTAAAATTTGATTACCAAATGCAGTCGAATTTTTGGTCAAATAAATATATTTAAAGTTAACAAGGAATGAGTTAGCAACTTCTGTTCTCTCCAAGCCACAGATGATGTTTCCTTAATCCTGTGCATCCACTAAGAACACATTTATTTACAGGGCAACAAAAACATCAACACACCATGACATTTCTTTCTGTTTTCTTTTATCTTGATTTTTTCTAAGCTTGAAACCTTTTTTGTTACACACACACACACACACACACACACACACACACACACACCTATACACAGGTTAGCTAATAAAATTACTTCATGCTTATAATTTGAAGTGAAGGTGAGTTTAATCACAGAAGGAGTTTAGGTAGAGTGGTAAAGTGAGTTGATTTAAGTTGCAAGAAATAACTCAGTTTCAATATAAAAAGAAACTTGAATGTAGGAAAAGAAACTTGAATGTAGGAAAGCATGGCTGTAAGCGAAGTAGTTAATTTGTAGGGACATTGATAATATTTAGGAAAGGATTACATTGTAGAAAATTTAAAAGTGGAGCAAACAGAAAAGAAAATGTTGTGACCCTTTAGTACAATGGAGATTTATGTGTATCAGTTCTATAATAATATTGCATTTACTAAAGCACAGTCAAAATAATTAGTCAACCAGTCAGAAAAGTAATTCTATGTTTCATGTTTCAAAGAATGTTAAAAATACACTACATAGGTCTAGCACCAGTTGGATCCCTTTTTCCCTCTTCCCTCCTTTTCTTAAACCAATAATTCGCTTAAGTGATATATATAAAAGCGATTTATATAGAGAGGAGGTCTATATATAAACATAGACCTACTCCACCTCCTCTACCCACAACCTACATTTTTTTCTCTCATTTTTCTTCTCTATCCAGGCTCTTTATTAGCATTAACCCTTTTTATAAGAACTTCTCCTTTACTTTTTGTCTTTGAATTTGACTTTAAAGAATTGTAAGATTTAGAGGTAAAAGTAAGGAAAGAGCTGTGGCACAAAAGTGGGAAAATTACTTTGACAGCTAGGGAACAAGAAAAATTATGAACATTTGAACAGTACTAAACTTTATCTTACCCCAGCTGAAGCATGGGCCTTGGACAAAAGTTGCCCTTTACAAACAGAAAAGCTGGGCTCGGTGGCTCAGCCTGTAATCCCATGCCTTTGGGAGGCTGAGGCGAGTGGATTGCCTGAGCCCGCGGGTTCGAGACCCGCCTGGGCAGCGAGACCTCATCTCTACAATACATCAAAAAATCAGCCGGGTGTGGTAGCACATGCCTGTAATTCCGGCTACTCGGAAGGCTAAGGCAGAAGGATTGCCGGAGCCCAGCAGGTCGAGGCTGCGGTGGCCGGGAGCGGCCACTGCATTCCAGTCTGGGCGACAGAGTGAGACTCCAACTCAAAAAAAAAAAAAAAAAATACAAACAGAAAGAGTCAGAAAGAGAGAGAAGCCTCAACAATGTTAGATTTTTTTAAAAAGGGTCTAGAAGTCTTAAAGGAGGTAAGAGCTTAAAGTGAAGAGTTATTGCTTAATACAGTTGATCCATTGTCTGGAAAAATCAGAATGAACCATGGTGGTGGTGTTTTTTTCATTCAAAAGATATTTATTATAATTGTTACTTAATAAGTATAATGAATTTAATCACAGTGGATAAAAGGTCTAAGCTTTTTGCTTATCATATAAAGCAGATTATTTAATGAATGACTTATGTAAATTGCTTGCTGATCAATACCTGGATATTCAACTTAGAAATTGGAGTCATTCTTCAACTATACACTCTAGAGGCACCATCAAGAAAGAACTTAGTCTTATGAAGGATAACTTTTCAATTACCATGTCTAACAAACAAATGTTTGTATTGTATTAAGATTAAAGTAAATGTTTACACAGATAATTTTAACAAAATTAATTTACCTTGAATAACTTGAGAGGCAGAAAGTTTAATTAAACAAAGTGAGATTTTTTAAAAAGTCTAATTGGAAAAAGATTAAATAGAAACTATTGATTTCAGTTATTAGTAATTTTTGTATGTGCTTGACCTTTGGGAGATCAGCTTCAGTAAAAGGTTGATGGGAAAAGAGGGATTCCTGAGAGTTAAGAGATCTTATTTCAAATCCCTAGTCTTAAGGGGGAAAAAAAAAAGCTGACCTTGATGCATGTGCTTTTTTATAGCTTCTTTGATCTCTTTATTCCTCAGGCTGTAGATAATGGGGTTGAAGAAGGGGGACAAAACTGCAAAGGCCAGAGCAATAGCTGTATCCCAGAACAAGGAGTAAGTAGCAGAGAAGCGTAGGTACATGAGGGCCACACTACCAAAGAAAAGCAAAAAGACAGTGAGGTGGGAAACACATGTGGAAAATGCTTTGTGGCGGCCTTCGGCTGAACGAATACGTAGAATCACAGCCACAATGCCAACGTAGGACATGAAAATGAGCGTCACAGCTGTAATAATCTCCACTGCATGGACAATATCTACTACCTGAATCATGATGATGGCTCGTGTGTCTGTGCAGGCCAAGCGCAGCACTGGAAGGAAATCACAGAAGATATGCTCTAGGTGATTGGAGCCACAAAAAGGCAGTGTGGAGATCCAGGCAATCTCAGGGAGAGGTGTGATAAAGCCACAAACACAGCAACTTAGAGTGAGTTTAGCACATAGCTTGAGGGTCATGATAGTGTGATAATGGAGAGGGCTGCAGATGGCCAAGTAGTGGTCAAAGGCCATAGCTGTCAAGAGACACACCTCACTGATGCCTGCGGAATGGAAGAAATACATCTGCAGGAGACAGCCATTTAAGGAAATGCTCTTCCTTTCACTCAGCAGGCTGGAAAGCATCTTTGGGATGGTGGCTGTGGTATACCAAATCTCTAGGAAAGAAAGGACACAAATAAAGAAGTACATGGGAGTGTGGAGGTGACTATTAAGCAGCACCACCGTGATGATGACCAGGTTACCAGCAACAATAAAAGTGTAGATGAAGAACAATAAAACAAAGCAGACGATAGACTTTTCCCAGGAATAAGGGAAAGCAGAGAAGATAAAGTGCTGAACGACGGTTCGATTGGGGCTCTCCATCTCCAACTTGGAAGTGAAAGTTTCAGCTCCTAGTGGACTCAAGCCTTCTGGAAGGTGTCTAGACATACCCTTACCATCTCTGGATAGGCCCCTGCATTGGGAGTATAGAGAAAGGCAAAGGAAGAATAGTTGATTACAACTAAACTTGTAGTATGGGATGGGGGAAAGCATAACCAGTCAGAAAGCATAACCAGAGACTCAAATATTAGTATGCATCAGAATCACTTGGAGACCTTGTCAAAACTCAGATTGTTTCTCTCTATAAGGAGACTTTCTAAATCAGTAGTTCTTAGGTAGGGCTCAAGAATTTGCATTTCTAACAAATTTCCAGACCAGTAGTTCTGCAGGTCAGGGGACCATATTTTAAAACAATTTTGTTCAGACAAACATAGAGCTAGATAAGAAGGTGAAGTTCTTTCTTATATTCAAATCTTATTGATTTCCTGACAATCTTCCCACAACTGTTTCAAAAATTCTTTCCTCAAGGTCTCAATACATTGACTTCTTGACTTATAATTTGATGGGATATTTTAATGATAAAGACAAAGCCATCATTGATGAATTATATCTATCATCACTTTCTTCTTCTAAGTAACTCATCCTTTCTTTATATGTATGTTCCTAGCAACAATTCAGAGAATATTTGGAGAAGAAAAATTATACAAATGTTTGTATGTTATTTTATCTGCTTTTAATGGATGGACCTTTCTATCTCCTAACCCTTCTCTCGTGCATCTTCTAGGTAAGGGGATCTCAAAGGTGTTTTGTACCAGAAGGCTTTGGTCAAATGAAATGATTCATGAAAACTGATTTTTTTTTTTTCTTTTTTTTGAGTCAGAGTCTCACTCTGTCGCCCGGGCTGAAATGCAGTGACACGCTCACGGCCACCCCAGCGACGACCTGCTGGGCTCCGCGATCCTTCTGCCTCAGCCTTCCAAGTAGCGGGAACTACAGGCGCGTGCCACCATGCCTGGCTAATTTTTTGTTTTATTTATTTATTTATTTATTTATTTATTTATTTATTTATTTATTTATTTATTTATTTATTTATTTAT